TTTTGACGGACTGTATTTTACACTCTCGAGAGGTGGGGAAAGTATAACAGATTGCATACGAAAGGCATCGATTTTCTGATTGTGACTCGGACGCGAGTCTGACTAATTCACGGCCGCATCTACTTAGCGCCGTGAGACGTACGTGTCGCATTAGTGACGTGCGAGGGACGGCAAGGAACAGTCTCGCGCGATCCATTGTTCCCCGAGCGTGTTAATTGTCATCCTTGAAGAAGCGTAACACGTACAGAATGGTCCTCGCGTTTCCTAAGAAGTGGCACACACCGTGCCGAAGGTATGTATTGTGGATAAATTCAAAGTCGACGATTCTTCGCGTTCTACGATCGCGGTGAGGTCCGTCCGGCGTGCGCGCGCGCACATGCACGCATGCACGCTCGTCGGCAAAAGTCCGTTGACGTCAATTAGCTCAAACAGAGGGAATCGTTCGCCGGCGCGATCGTCACGAATTGCCGAACTTCCACGAAACGGCTGAGTGAGACCGACGAAAAAAGGAGAGCCGTTCGTTTAATCCACGTGTACATATAAATCATAATTTCCCTCCGCTCCGCAAGTGCCCCCCGATTTGCTCGACCTTCACATTTCGCGTTGTGAATTTTTTTTCCTTTACCTATATACTCTCGCCCGGCGAATTAAATTAAACATGCATGCGAGAAATATCAATAATCGTAATAATCGCATTTGCGCGTGTCTCGATAAATATTCAAATGTATAAATGCTCAGATAAAAAGGCTGAACTGCCATAACCATCCGCGTCCACGCCTCTAGTCTCGCGCTTATAAATATTGATCCTCCTCGTGTAGAATACGACCCGAATGAATCTGATTAATCCGTTCCTGGTTCGAAGGTCGGACGAGAGAAACTTTAGCGCGGATACTTACTACGCGCGCTCTGCTCTCTCGGCCCGGCTTATACCTTCTTATATACGTTATACGTCCCTCGCCGGTGAAACCGTCGGTTATGAAAGGGAAAAATCGGCCGCGTACATATGATGCACGCGTTTATTGCAACGGCCGTCCGTCTCGCTCCGCCGAATGCGACGCTTCTCTGTATTCGCATTATCGCAACCTTCCATTTCGTTCTCCGGATTCGGACTCTGTCGACACAATGATGATCGTAATGCCGATCGAATCGTGCTGCCCGAAATACCCTCGTTCTATTCGATCCTATTGATACGGAAAGAAATAATGAATCGCCCCGCGGCCACATAAATCGCCGTTATTCTCAGCGCGTCGTCAATATGAATTTATTACGCTATCAATCCGCGCGAGCGTACGGCCCACGCGACTATAACGTGTGCAAAGAGAGTGTCCCAGTACCTTCGATTTTATTTTCGTTAGCGCGCGCGCGAGCTCCTCGTCGGTCAATCTATAGGGTCGATTCGTTTCGTGCCATCGAAAATCTTATGCCAGATAGATATGGCCGTGATCTAATGGCATCTAAAGAGATTTCGCTCGAGTGCTGGACAACTTGGAATATTTATATTCGCGCGGCTGTTACCTGTGTATCCGTCGACTGTATGTAAGTACGTATATTGCCGTCGAGAATGATTATCGCGTCGACTCTCACGTCATTCGTATATATGAACGACCACTCCATTTCATGAAAAATTTCCAGACGTTTCTCGTTATAATTAATTCTTTTTTTGATGTTATTAAAAAAATTAGATTAAATTTAGATTAAAATATTAAAAGAGTAATGTTAATTTTACGGCAAAAAGAACGGAGGGGAAAAAAATTCGAAAAACATGCTCCCCCGGAGTTTTTCATGATCAAACTGAGCGTCATTCGTATATGAATGACGTGGCAGTCGGTATGTTAAATAGGAGGAGACCGAAGTTCCAACTTGTATTTTAACGACCGTCTCTTTAACCGACTTGCGATCGATCTTTTATTAGTTCGTTTCGCGCGAAGTAAATACAGCCGTGAGTCGCAGTGAGATTTGAGAAAGCCGCTAAAAAATTGTAAGTGCAAACTCGACATACCTATTTCGTCTAAATTAGAATAATATAGAATAATACAAAAATAGGAGAAAAGCTCCAACTTGTAAACGTCGTCTCTTTAACTGACTTGCTGCAATCGATTTTTTTTTTAATCGTTCGTTTGCGCCAAGTAAACACGGCTAAATTGTAGAAAACCGCTGATAACTGAAAATTGGCGCAAATTGCACCTATAATTCGACATTTAGAATAATGTAAAGAAATTAGAGAGCCAGAGATTCCAGAATCTCTCTGACTTTCGCGTTTTAACCGACCGCTCGGGGTTTTGCTATCGATACCGCTGAGTAGCAACAGTAATCGTCGATCGTGCGAGGACCCCTTAAGAGGCAAGATAAATAAGAGGAGAGGAATCGCTCTCGCTCTCGAGAGCAAAACGACGAGGCCGAGAGCGGAGATTAGCAGTGCATACGGGAACATCGCGCGTCTCTCGGGCCGCTCGAGAAAGTCCAATCCTTCTTTCGCCTCGACGAAGAGCCGTATACGTTTCTCGTCGTCGCGAACCACCGCGGGGACTCGCCGAACGATTATAATATACGCACGAGCGATAATTCCTCGCCGATCCCCGGGTTGCAAGGTAAATCAACGCGCGGACACATTTCCGATATCTCGAGTTTTTGATCGTCGACGTTGATCCGACGAGGCGATCACAGCGGCACTCGCCGCGCTTATTATGCAATCTACTTTATGCAAAGTGTCCCCCGAATGGGCTTAGGTCATCGGAGAACGACGACATACGCCCTTGCCGTTATTACGCTATCTTTCTGCCCTACAGCACGGGAGCCCTGCACGGTGCCCGCGGCGTCGGCGGCGCGCACTCGGACCGACCGGATCAGCCGGTCACGTGCCGGCGCACGGCGTCGCTGCCTCGTCGTGCAACTGCATCGAGAAACGATTAACGATGAGACAGACACCGGGTACGTACGTGACGTCAATTGTCGAAGATAACGGGCGCGAGTGCTCGCGGTAGTAATCGGTAGTGGTGGGCGTCGGGTGCACCGACGTAGGTTACGTGGGAGCAGCGGGTGGGGGTGGTGAGGGCAGAGGGTGGCGGGGGAGAGAGGAAGAGGGGTGGGAGACGAGCGGAAGGGGGAGAGGGACAAGTCATCGGGATGGGGGCGAGAGGAGGGAAGGAGGGGGGGAGAGCGAAGCGAGGGTAGAGGGGAGGGAGAGGAGAACGAGAGAGAGAGAGAGAGAGAGAACTGAGTCGACAAGGCACACAGGGGATA